TTGGGATACATTGCGCGTATTGTGTAGTTAAAAAGTGTACTGTATCGTGTGATTTCCCTTGAAAGCGTGATCCCGTTAAGGTCGATCTTTTGTGCCTGTAAAGCCGGAAAAAAAACCACCACATAAATAGGTCTAGAGTAATATTAACTAGTTATTAGCCCTTTTTTACTTATTATTAGGGCTAGTAATCGCTATAATATATTTGTAAAATAAAGTATATAATAAAAAATAATTATAAAAAGTAATCGTCGTATTTTAATTATAATATAATATTAAGTAAGTTTAAATAAGTAATAGGTCGGTTATAATAATCGTTTTAATAATAATAAGCGGGCTACTATTATTAATTAGAAAATTCTATTCTTTTAATAAAGTATATAAATAGAAAGTTATTAAAATTAGTAAAAGATTATAAAAAGAGAAAAAAGGCCTTTTATAACCGTATTTTTAATAAGAAAAAAAGAAAGGCCTTTTATAACCGTACTTCTAATAATAACTAAAAGATTCCGTTAGCTATTAATTAGCAATTTCTTTTAGTACTTTTAGTACTTCGTTTTACTAATCTAGTCTCGGAGTATTCGTTAAATTAAAAAGAGGTAAATTTATTAGTAATATAAAACAAATCCCTACTACTATTACTATCGAGATCTTTTTTTTTCCTTAGTATCTTAGAATACTTCGCTATCTATAAAGAACACTTCGCTATTAATATATTTATAATCCTAAAGGTCTTATTATTACTAAACGTTAGTACTTTAGTAATCGTTAGATCGATTTTTTAATAATCGATCTCTTCTTACTTATTATTAATTTAAAATAATACTTAGTTATAATATATTTAAAATAAATTTTTTTACGAGCGGCTTAATTAGAAAGAAGTTAGTAATTATAATAAGGTTAGTAAAAATAATATTAATAATAAAAACGAGGTTAATAATAATAGTAAAGTAATTAATTTTTTTGTAATAGTAGCTTTAATAAAAGAGATCGTATATAATAAAGCGCGCTCTTATTAGCCCGTAACTAATTAATTAGTTATTAATTAGTAATAGTAAAAGAGAGTTAAGGTAGTATAGACTAAGCTACTTATTATTAATTAAATAAATAGAACTAATTTAATAAATTAGAATAGTTAGTAAAGTAAGTTAAGGCTATTTCTTTTATAATTATATCCTTACTAATTTATAATAAAAATATATATATAATTTAATTACTAATTAGTATTAGTATATATATAAATAAGTTAGACCTTTTAATTATAATAAGGTTAATAAGTTAGTATAGGTTTATTATATATATATAAAAGGGGAAAATTATAGGCAGGGCCCGCGATCCCTCTGTGGGTATAAGTAGGTAGAAGGGTCCGTCTGCACGGGCCCAGACTACCTACCTACTACCCTTACCTAACTACCTAATAGGGCCCTTTTCTGCCTCGTAATCCAACACCTTCCCTCAAGCAAGGTCAGCAGCATCACCTGCTCACCTGCCTCTCGGCTTAGGCACCATCCCTTTATATTGTAAAAATGTGTCGAAAGATTCCAACACAGTTCCAATGATGATACGAAGAAGTGCTTTTCATTCCTGAGCCAGGAGCTTCGCTCCAGTGTGCTAAGACCATATTAAACTGAGGGACCAGGACTTCCTCAGATGAGAGGTTCTTCTTTTTATAACTTTCGAACCCTTCTTTTTTCCTTGCAAACTTTCCCACCTTGAGTGCTACAAAGGTGCAAAGGGTACCAAAAGTTTCACCGCATTTACCTTTATAGTTCTCTGGAAGATGTGTGCTCACCTCGGCTCCTCTGCCTCACGCCTTGTAGGCCTAGTCGCGCGAGCTTAGAGCGGCGGGAGAATCGGTCGCACTTGAGGGACTCATTAGCTATTTCGCTCGGGGCTGAGAGATGGAGGCCAGGCTGCACGTCAGACAACGCCGCCGAGACCTGCAGGATGCCGATTCTTCCGCTCAGCGACGAGCAAGGAACATTGATTCTGAATTTTTGGCCTGCCACAACTTTTGGCACAGGCTGCATATGGAACGCTTGTCTCTGCTGGGAAGGATCAATAAAACCAGCCCCTCTATGCAAGTTGTCCCTCATGGCCATAGCCTGTCACGTCGAACGTGGCCAATAATGAGGAGGAATCCGCGCCAAAAGCAGACCAGGCGCACCAAGTCTGTCTGACCTGAGTCGATGCCTATCAGGCGTTTATTGCCTCACTGGTTCGCCAACGGTATGGCAGTTAAAACGATGAAATTCGCCGCATTGGCTTTGCTCGCCTGGCCTCGCCGTTATCCCCACAAACCTTCTGAAAGCCCCCTGGGATAAAAACGCCTGGAGTTGAAATCGACGGCGTTGATACCCCGTGGCTTCAAAGTCAAGACAATCTTCGTCACTACCTCAAGGGCCTAGTCAAATTGAGAGTCAAGAGCATCTTTAACCCTCAAAACCCGAGTCTTGGCATGAAGGTCTTTCACTGTTAGAGCACTCACTTGTCGTTTCTTCTTAGCCCCTAAAGTTCTCAATCGAAGAAAGATGAAGCCAGACAACATCATTGCAAAATTCAAGCGATATGTAGATCAGTACGTCTCCGAGCGTAGCTGCCGTGGCATGAGAGGGTACGAGGATGGGCTTGTTGATTTTGTTCCCCGATGCGCGCTGGACAGCTTCTGGGTGGCGGAGAATGTGGAAGGCGTTCTCCTTGGTCGAGAAGACTGGATCAAAGACAGCGCTTCCACTATTCAGAGGGGTTACATCCAAGTCTTCTCCATCCTCGTCTACATGTCGCAACCCCAGCACATTTCGCTTTTCACAGGAGAGTCTATTCATGACGGATTACTACCACTGAGAGAGACACCTCATGCGTTTTCCGAGGCCGCAGAGAAAAGTATTTTTGAGGAATTCGAGAAAGAACAGTGGAGATTCTGCCCCTTCCTGTTCGATACCGAAGGGAGAGGCAAACCTCACAAACGACATCTCCCACCGCTACAGATCATCCCTATCATCGCCAAAGAACAGATCAAACACTCAGGGACCATCTACGACCAGAGAGTCTGCGTTTTCCGAGTAACGCTACATTCGCTGTGCTTTAACCAGAAGGTAATACACACTACCGCGCGATCGCTAGACTGAATAAAAGACTCGGATTCTGATATAGTTCTAATAGGAGGTGGTCTTCAAAACCTATTATGGAGAAGACCCAGAGGTGGTTCAAACCTACGAAAATGAAGTGAATATGTACACGCAGCTGGACGCACAACCGACTCTGTACGATTCTATGTCCGTCATTAGATATTTCGGCTCATTCGAAATTCCTGGTCTACGAACCGTAATACTTGAGTACGCCAGAGGCGGGAATCTGAAGTCTTTCTTCGAATCGTGTCCTCCTCCTTTAGCTCGTTCAGACCGTGTCCTTTTCTGGAACAACTTGATGGATCTATTGGGCGGTCTGCACGCAATTCACAACCTCAAGGAAACTCAAGGAGGCAAAGGGTCCTGGGGACTCAGAGGGTCTGTCGCCATAACATATCACGTTTGACCAGTTTCATGTTGAGCTAATTATCTACAATCATAGAACTCACCAGGACATCAGGCCACAAAATATCCTGGTCTGCCCTGATCAGTCTGGCAACGTATACGCTGCAAAATTCAAATTTGTGGATATGGGAACTGGGCATATTCGTAGGTCAAGAAACCAGGGAATGGAACTGAACGCCGACGACAACTGGGGTAACGGGATGTACAGTAAGTGCTTGCTATGTAAATGACTGACATCACACCTTCTGGATCAGCTGACTTTGGATCTTACAGGTGCCCCAGAGGCATACAGGGATCATGGAGACTCCAGGGCAATTCGATGGGAGAGCGATGTATTCTCTCTCGGAGCCGTTGCTAGCGAAGCTCTCGTCTGGACAAGGTGGGGAGAGTATGGACGTGATCTTTACCAGAAGGATCGAGTTATTGAGACTCGCATGTCCCGCTTAAAAGGAGGCTTTCATGAGGGATCTTTCCATGACGGAGATCCAGACGGGCCGTGCCTTCTGAATTCAGTTGAAACATGGCTTCAGAGAGCAAGTAGCTTCGCTGGGGAAGAATCTCATTGGTTTTTGGCAGTGAGCAGATTTCTGCTTACCCGCATGCTCTCTATGAACCCAAGAAAAAGGCTCGAGGCCATTGAGCTTCATGACGAATGGAAGAGCAAAGTCTTTGAAGGGCCTGACCTGGTTCAGCCACACGAAGAACTTTACCCTCTTACAACCAGATTCTCAGAGCCATATTCCACATTTCGGAGGAGGGAAACCAGCCCACTGAGTCAACTCCCGGTTGAGAACTCTCCAAGAACAGTGGAGGCAACTCATTTCATCGGATCAAGATCGGAATCCAGTCCTGGAATTATTGTACAGTCACCGGAAGAAATGCGAAACGAGATTGACCTGGGAAATGCATACCGGCATAACACGCGAGTGCCTCAGAGGTTCAACACTGTGCCCCAGCGACCGAATCATGGTTCTGACAGCATTTTGAACCACGAAAATCGCTTGTCTGTGCCAGGTGCTACTTATGCGGCATCTGAAACCTACCATGGACCTTTCAATCGGCACAGAACACCGGAGTTTGGGCCAGTTGATGCCGCAAATGCTCTCAATATCGAAGCCCAGACAAGTACCCCAATGGACGTGGGAAATGAGGCAATGGGAGTACCGGAACAACCAATATCACTGAACGTCGCCAGCAACCCTCCGATGGACGTCCTTCGGAACGAAAGTCTCCCAAGTCGACAGGAAAGATTGCCATCCTACACATCCCAACTCGGACTCTTTCCTCCGAATCAATTTCAATGGAACACGGAACCCAACTCTCCCCATGAAGTCAATGATGGTGTAATTACAATGGCAGCCATCTACAATCTATGCATAGAAGGTAAAGATCGCTCACGTTCGCGATTCCGACGCTCTCCAAGCATGAAGTCTGAATTCAAAGGGAGACCCCTTGAGGCGTTCCCACAGCTGGTGTCAGCCCTGCAGAAGTTGAAAGGCGAGAAGGGCCGTGATCAGGTAAAGATGAATACATGACCTAGACCAGTTTCACTGCGTCCACTGACAGTCATATCTCTAGATGTTTCTCGTGGATGACTCGAGATCCATGGAGCCTCATCAAAAGAAAGTAGCCGCGAGCTGTCAAGTCCTCTCGTACTTACTCAAAAAGGGAGAGGTTGACCCAAATGCAACCTTTGAAGTCTATTTTACCTCATCTCACCCTCCACTTCAATCAACAAGGACCTCGGAATTGAAAGATAATATAGAAAAGATGCTATTCCATGAAGATCAATGCAACATGGCCCCAAGTTTGGACGAGTTGGTCAGTAAGGCTATCCAGAATAAGAAACCGGTCAGCATATATGTCTTGACGAACGGACACTGGAATCTCAAGAACCGAGACAATTTCTGCGGTGTAGATGGACCGATCAAACGCTTGGTGACTCATGTTCGACGGACAAACGAACAGCAGAATTGGATCGGTGTCCAGTTCATCCGCTTCTTTGACGACAACGAAAATCCTGATGACAAGCTCGGGGAGACTCGGTTGAAAGCATTGGATGACGATTTGAAGCAACAAACGGGAATGTGCGTTGATGCTCAGCTTCTTTACAAATCGGTGATGATCACTGACTCCCAACTAGAGACATCGTCGACACACGGAATTTTGACGCAGATGTGCGCAAAATTTTACTTGGTTCAGTCGTACCAGATGAGGATAATTCTTGAAGTATTGTCTGGACTTTGATGCACTATAGCTCTGACGACCTTACCGGCATGGATTTTCACCAAAGGCGCGGCGTTAGGGGCATGTTTGTTAGAGAGTCCATTGTTTTCTGCCTTGGGGGTCATTTATGGCGTTGGCGTTGATGATACTTTCAAGATTTTCTTCTCTGTTTTGCTCCGTATGTATTTGCAGTAATTGGTGGGCAGGAGGCGCTTACTTATGTCCTCGGCATTGTGGACAAGTCTATAGACTTTCGAAATTCCGCTCCAGAAACGAACTAGCCGACGAGGAAGTCATTTAGTCTTAAGCGACGTTACATCTATCTGTACCGTTTGTGACGGTTGTGACGGGCATTAAGGAAAAGTTAGAGTGATTTGCCTTCATACTAATTTGGATATCAAGCTTATTTTCAACTTGGGAACAGCGAAATGCAAAGCATGTGGCCGAAAGTAACTGCGAGATCGACAAGTAACGATAACCCTGCTTGCTACTTTCCTATTGTGGTTCTAGAAGGTGGGCTCTTCAGAATATACTTTTGGCGGACCGCAGACGTGCGACAGGTGGCCCACGGGAGCATACATGATCAATCAGCAAGAACTCAAATAGAGCAGTTCCGTTAGGTTTCGATAGTGTGCGAAAATAGGTTTCCTATGTATATTCGTCTTCGGTGTCCGTACTGATCAGTTTGCTTGTGCTTTCAGCGAAAATCTTCATCGAAGCGGAGACAGCGAGTGCTCTGTGTGCCTGTTGCACTGCAGTATGTCTGTAGCAATCAACAGATTGCCGCGTTGAAGATTTTTGACAAAGCACTGATCCTGTCGCTGATGCACTTTCAAGTTGGTTGCTAATTGAGAGGGGAACCCTTCCATTTCATCATGAGAAGCGAGTTGCTCGCAAAGCGCACAGATCATGCCTTTCAGCAAGAGCATTGGCCAAGCTCGTTTGCGCCCCGCTGTCTCATGGCGTGGCATCCTGAGTGCCAAGATTAACGGTACGTAGGAAGAGTTGACGCTAATAGAGTCGAGAGGAGAGGCAAGAATAGCATAAAGGGGCGAATAGGCAATGAAGGCTGGGCGAATGTTTCTTTTCACGGTGAAGTACAGATGATGAGATACAGATACAGATCTCAGCTGTCATCAGCCGCAAGTCGACGATAACTTAACAGCATTGAAACCAAGAAATTGAAGTAAGCCTTTCAGTGTCTGGGACTGTGAGACAAGAAGCCACGCTAGGTGAGTTGTCAGCCACGCCAACGCACCAAGTATCACCATCCAGAAGAAGGAAAGGGCTGCTGAGATAATGACCAGTAACTCCAACGGTAACATTCTGGACCTTGCGAATGCGAGCTTCTGGGAGCCTTGGCTTGCCCTGCGATGAACAGCTCGCCTACTCCAACAAACAAGCAGCCAACCCCTGTTCTGCCCCTGACAGCTCGCAGCGACGCCCAGACCGACGACCCCTGCAAGCGCACCACCCATCGGCGATGTCTGGACTCTGATTCCCTGAGAGTGTCCGGCGGCCCCTCTCTTGTGCCTGGTGTTGGCTGACGGCGTTGGCTTACACTACGGGCTTGGCCCCCGTTGCCCGTGAAAAGATCTTTGGTTGTTCGTGCAGCAACATCAGGCAATGGACAGTATCCAACATGCCTGCAACGGAAGATTGTGTTCGAAAAAGGAAAATGCGACGCCGCAGGGCTGCTTAAATTACCGCGCCGCCCAATGTCGGTTGTGAAATCATGAAAGATGCAGAGGTCGCACTTCATCAAATATCAATGGGGTGGTGTTGGTGATGGTAGCCACAATTCGATATTGTGCTGAATCACAAACCCCAGAGTGGGTTTGCCCAATCAAGGCCCAGTGTTTAAACCTTCGGAGAGGCAGAACGAGGCCACAGCTTTCATCTTATATAGATGGCCCATGGAGACCGTCTCCGCGCGCGCTTCGACCAGGATGGACTTCTCCGTTTCGTTCAGCTTCGGGTTTTTTTCCATCTGCCTGTTGAACAGTTGAAGGGTGACCTTGAAAGTTGAAAGAAGGCTAAGAGCGGCGAAGTGCCGGAGCTGTCGGGCCATGCGCGCATTCAAGTAGCATTAAGCTAGTTAATAAGGATATCGAAGTGGGCTTATACCGAGTCATGCGAGATCTCATTGGTTGGATCGAGGCTTTTGAGATTGACCAAGAACAATTCGAAAAGTCAAACCGGCGGAGACAAAGCGACAACACCTCTACAACCTGCCATCACCTTGGTTTCTCTTAAAAGCCAGACCCGCCCTGATCTGGGATTTAGTATCTTGGCACCTCCGTTTGTTATATCGTCCATATTGAACGTCCGCTCGTCGTCATCAGGCGTCGCCAACAGCGGCCGCCACCTTGGGGGGAGCGTGAAGGAGGAGACTAACGGTGACTCGTGAGACGGACTTCAACGGGGAGCACAGAATGCCCAACACCGTTGCACGGATGATGGGCCAGCTATTTCAGTGGCCCTTCATCTTATCTCCCGCGACTTGCAGGCCCTTCATGTACGGGACCTTTTCGACCTTTTCTTCCCGTTTCCATTTCCCAGCCAGCTGGGCAACTCTACAGACGCCAAGCCGAGCTAACAAGGTTGCTTTGCTTTTCCTGCAGGGCGGTGCAACGCCCAAGCGAGGAACACCAACCATGACTCGGCCTTGTTTGGGGAGTTGGGAACTTGGGACTGGAGTTCTTGGCCGTGAATCTTGGCAATTAAAACGGGATGAACATGAATGGGGTTGTTAGTGTACTGCAAAGCTGACAACCCGCATGGGCGCATAGGGGGTTCCATCGAGACTTGGCAAAGTCGGATGGGATATATGGGCGGCTCGCCATGTCTACCTTTGAGTGTTTTTTGTCTTCCTCTTCTTCTTCACTACTAGTCAACTGTCCGTCTTCTTCTTGTAAGACAACGTCACTCGTTTCTAACCACCAAAGTCATTCTTTATATAATACTAGTCATTCTTTCGCATCATGCATTTCAAGACCGTTGCTACCTCGCTCCTCGTGGCCGGAGCGGCCGCCTCCCCCTTCCGCCGCCAGACCTCGAACGAGACCTTCTGCGATGAGGACCTCCCCGCCCCTCAGCCGAGCAGCACCAAGGCTCACTTCCCGCCTTACCCCGTGAACACCACCATCCCCGGTGTTCCCACTACTCCCGGCGGCTCTTATCCTCCCCCGTCAAACCCCGGAAACGGAGGCAACACTGGTTCCGGCTCAGGCTCTGGCTCTGGCTCCGGCTCTTCTGGTTCTGGCTCCGGTTCCAACACTGGTTCCAACACCGGATCTAACACCGGTTCCAACACTGGATCGAACACCGGTTCCAACACTGGTTCCGACAAGGGCTCGGATAAGGGCTCCGACAAGGGATCTGACAAGGGCTCCAACGGCGGCTCTTACCCCGGAGGAGGCAAGCCTGGATCCGGCGGCTCGTGGCCTTCCGCTGCTCCCTCCGCTGCCGCCTCTGCCCCTGCCGGCAACGTCCCCTCGTACCCGGGCAAGCCTCCTGGTGGCTCTTCTTACATTCCCTTCCCCCAGAACACCAGCATCCCCACCGCTGCTCCCTCCTTCACCACCGTTCCCGGTGTTGCTCTTCCCACCGAGCCCATTGCCGTTCCCAGCACCACCGTCCCCGCTGGCAACAACGACACCATCCCGGCCTCCACCTCCAGCACGGCCTCCGGATCCGCCTCCGCCAGCGCTACCGCCCCGGCCACCAACATCCCCTACGGTGTTGCCATTACCAAGTGCACTGTTGAGGGTGATTTCGCTCTGACCTTCGACGACGGCCCGTTCACTTACACCGAGCACGTCCTCGACCTCCTCGCTGAGGCTGGCGCCAAGGCCACTTTCTTCGTCAACGGCGAGAACTTTGGCAACATCAACAACTTCCAGGATGTCGTCAAGCGTATGGTCGCCGACGGCCACCAGATTGGCTCGCACACCTACAGCCACCCCGACCTCGCCACACTGGGCGATGCCGACATCATCCCTGAGATGACTACGCTCGAGGATGCTCTCATCAACATCATTGGAAAGTACCCCACTTACATGCGCCCTCCTTACTTCAGCTGGAACGACAACACCCTCTCCATCCTGAAGGCGCTTGAGTACCACGTTATCCACGCCGACATCGACTCCCTCGACTACGCCAACAACGCTCCCCTCGGCAACCTTACCAGCGTCGGCATCTTCGAGAAGGGTGTCGATGCCGGTGGTTCCATTGCCCTGGCCCACGAGGTAAGTTTACTACGAGTCCAGTCAAAATTTGACCTTCATCACAGACAGTTAACACCCGCATTAGGTTCACCAGAACACCGCCGAGTACCTTGTCCCCGAGTTCCTCCGCATCATTAAGGAGAAGGGCCTGAACGCCGTCACCGTCGGCGAGTGCCTGGGCGACGCCGAGGCCAACTGGTACAAGACCAAGCGCACCTCCACCCCCACCGCCACCGCCTCCAAGATCGTCGTCTCCATCACCAGCACCGCTACCCCCACCGGCGTCATCGGCCCCGACGGTGCCTGCGGTGGCTCCAACAACTACGTCTGCGAGGCTGGTGCCTGCTGCTCCGAGTACGGCTTCTGCGGCACCTCCCAGGCCTACTGCGGTACCGGCTGCCAGCCCCTCTTCGGCGTCTGCGGTGTCGCCGGCCCCGTTGCCTCAGGCGGTGATGCCACCTCCAGCGCCCCCGCTGCTACCCAGACCGCTGCCACCGGCGGTGTCAGCCCCGACAGCTCCTGCGGTGGCTCAAACGGCTACACCTGCCCTGACAGCACCTGCTGCTCTGAGTACGGCTTCTGCGGAACCACCACTGCTCACTGCGGCACCGGCTGCCAGCCCATCTTCGGTACCTGCTCTTAAGCTAGCTGTCTAGCTGAGGGTCGTGTGCGTGTGTATATGTAATAATGGTTGCATCACGTTGATGTGGTTATGGGACAAAACATTTCCTTTATATATCCTGTAGAGCTGTGCATAGAGTCAATAAAGTGTGTATCTACTTCATCTTTGGATATAGCCAAACCTAGCCATCGAATAGTCCGCCCAATAAAACGCTATTCGGATTCAGTAATCCAATTCTCATGACGCTGTGAACAATCAGCTACCAAAGAATTAGTTTGGGGTGGGCTGAGACGGCCGATTGAAAGTGCTCAAGCCATGAGGGTGACAAGATTTATGACGTCGTCCGAGGAAAACCATTATGATTGCGCCACGTAACTAGCGACCAGACTAAGAAGAGTTGGATTGATGAGCCGCCAAAGGACGATGACTATTGCGAGACTGTTCAGGGACTCGTGAGAAGGTGGCGGGAGCGCACATGGCAGCAATCTTGACAACCTGTTTGTCGCAGCGGTAATTCCTGCAGGAACCCGAGCCGTGCATATCTCGGAGATCCGGGGTATCGACGACGGGCTGATGCAATCAGCCCAGTGCCTTGGCGGGATTTGCCTTGGCTATATCTTCCGGGAATGCCCACCTATCATCCCTTCATGGGTCGTAACCCGCTCATCGTCCATAATCGGGGTACTTCTGTATTGGGACGAAAGGTGTATTTTGCGGGGTCGGCTGACAGGCAAACAGCAGTGCGGAGGAAGGGAAGGTCATCGGTCGAAGATGTCACACCTGGGGATGTCGTCCATGGAATTCGTGCTTTATCCCCCGACGGCGGGTGACCGCGATGAAGTCCACCAATTGAAAGAAAGGCCGGTATCGGTGGCGTGATATGTATTCTTACAGTAAATCAATCTTCATGTTCACGAAGTTGCCTTTCATGCTCTGGCTCACAACTAAGTGCTTCTGCACAAGGAAGGCATCGTCACACTTCTTGATCTAGCTTCGCAGAAGTCGTCGCAATTGCCAGCGAGTGACACCCTCGTCGACTACCATCATGCCGAAGCCTTTTGAACAGGTGCCAGGCAACAGCATATGCTTCTCGATGATCGTCGCCATGTCTTTGGCTATCGGTAGTTGTATAAGTTGTACCGACCGGATAGCACTATTCTCTGCTTGAGTCGTCTTCAAATCCCCATCGATTCAACTTCGACTTCCAGTTGCCGCGATGCTCCCCAATCTTGACCTCAGTTGGGTCGTGGTTTTATTCACCCTACATGGCCTTTCCTCTACAGTCTTGGCTTCTCCGAACAACGTCCTCGAAGATAGAGCCGTTTACACTTGTACCGTTGAGGCCAACAATGACGGCTCCGATGATTCCCCAGCCATCCTCGCAGCCTTCAAGGAATGCCGTAAGAATCGCCGGATCGTCTTTTCCAACACGACGTACAATATTGAAAAGATGATGACCACGACTGATCTGGAGAATACCCAGATCGAGATCCATGGGACCTTGGTGGTGAGATTAGATAACCTCACTACTCCTGTCATGAGCCATCTATACGTACTGATCACTTCCGCTTGATACGTAGTGGAGCAAAGACACCGACTACTGGCTCAGTAACCCGCAGCCGACCGGTTTCCAAAACGGCTCTGCGGCGTGGTTCCTGGGCGGGAAGAACATCACAGTTGACGGCTTTGGATATGGAACCTTGGACGGTAACGGACAGGCCTGGTCAGTATCTCGATTCTCAACAAGATCCGTCCAACTCGTACTGACGCCCTTGGTTCAGGTACAACCTAGTCAAAGGCCAGTCCAACTACCCCGACCGCCCTCATGCCCTAGCAATCTGGAAAGCGTCAGGCATGACAGTGAGAAACGTACGCATGGTCCAGAGTCAGATGTGGACCATCGCAATAATGCACTCACAGAACGTGCTATTCGACGGCGTATACATCAACAGCACTACCAACAACGGGTACCCTGCCAGGAACACGGACGGCGCAGACACCATTGACTCGGACCGCATCACGTTCCGCAATATGTACATCCGAAATGGCGACGATGCGATTGCCATTAAAGGCAACTCTACCAACATCCTCATTGAAGACTCCACCATGGATCACTCTCTGGGTATAGCCTTTGGCAGTCTTGGCCAGTATAAGAACGAGTTCGAGCGCGTTGAAAACGTGACTGTGAGGCGTATCAAGGGCTTGGGGACTCGGTATGGCGCATATGTGAAGACGTGGACTGGAGATCAGGTTTCCTACTGTTGGTATACACGTAGGCAGGTCAGACCTTTTGGTCGCAACTAGGTCAATAGGTCAGTATAGGTTTATTATATATATATATCCGAGGGGAAGATTATAAATAGGGCCTATGATCCCTCTATAAATATAAATAAGTAAAAGGGTCCGTCTATATAAGCCTAGACTACTTACCTACTACCCCTACCTAACTACTTAATAAGGCCCTTTTTTATTTTATAATTTAATATTAATAATTTTCTACTTTTATAATAAAAAAGGGTAAAATAGGGGCTAGGTCCCCCTATTAATGAGAACTAATAATAAAATCCACTATTAATCCCCTATTTAGAAATACTTAAAGCTATATATTAAAATTTTAATATAATTTCTATTATAATTATTTATATAGAATTTTTATTATCCCCTTTTTCTAATTACTTTTTAATTTTTTAATATATATAATTTATATATTTAAACTTTTTAGAAATTATTAAATTTAATATAATTAAAAAAAAGCTTTTTATTAATTTAACTATGCCCTAAATACGTATATTTCTTTTTAAACTAAAGCCCGAGAGGTATATACGTTTATTAAATAACTTATTATTTATAGTATATTACTATTTTTAATTACGTATTACCTACCCTTTTATTTTAACTATAATAATTCTTTTATTAACAAATTATTTAAAGGACTTATTTAATATACTTTTTATAAACTCGTTAGCTAAGTTATTATTATTACTAATTTAACGAATTTTATAAAGCTTACGGCGTTTATATAATTATTAAAATATTATAATATTTATTATAAAGCGCTTTTTTTTTATAATACTTAGTTTAATAAAATATTTATATAGTAAATATAAATCTATATAAATTATAATAAGGATCTTTAGAACGTTAAGTTATTTAGTAATAAGGTCTAGGGTAGTTAAAATAGTATAAGTAACGTTAATACTTATAACTATTTTATAAACTTCTAATATTAATACGCTCGAAGTAATCTTTTTACTTTTTATAAAGCTATAGTAAATAATATTATTATTAATTATAAAGCTCTTGTTAATTTATTTTTTTATTTATAAAAATAATAATATAACCTAGTTATAAAGTATAATTAGCGTTATTTATAAATAACTTATTTATAAAAACGAAAAGTTTAGTTATAGTTAGATTTAATAATATAATTATAAGCCCTTAGTTTAAGTAATTTATTTATTATTTAATATAATAGTTTAGTATAGCGTAATTAATAAATAATAAATCTATTTAATATTAAATAATAAACGACGTATTAAAAGCTATTTTTAGTTAGTAAATTAATATAATATAAGTACCTCGAGCTCGCTACTTAATAAATTATTATTTAATATTTAATACTAAGAAGTTAACTTACTTAAGCTTCTTTTTTTAGTTCTTTTATTTAAGTACTATATTAATACTTTTTAATAAGATAATTTTATTATTAAAAATAAGTAGCTCGTTAGCTAATAGTTACTATTTTAGTTTAGTTAGTAACTTAGCGTACTTAAGCTCGGTCTCTTTTTTTTTATTAAAGGTCTTATTTAATAATTTAATTATATTATCGGTCTATATTTTAATAATACTAAATAATCCGCTTTTTTTTATTAAAATTAATAAGTATAAATTAAATATAAATATTATTATTTAGAGTATTTTTAAATAATACTTATTATATATTATTTACTAATAAGTATTAGATTTTATAAAACTGTATAATAATTATATAACGTATAAAATAATACTTTTAGAGTATAAATAATAAATCCGAGCTAGTAATTAGATAAAAACCTTATAATAAAGAGGTTAGCTCGATTATATATATACTTAAGTAATATTTTATAACTAAATAACATAGCTTTTTTAAATTAGGGTCGGGGCTAGGGTAAAAATTAAATATTAATTAGTTTTTTAAATTATTAGTAACTACGTAAGGATCTCCTTCTTCTTTTTATTATTATACCTTTATATAACTAAATAAAACTTTTCGATAGGGTTAAATCCTTAGTTCTTAATCTTATTAATAAATTAAAATTTAAATATTCTTATATCCCTATATTTAGGGCTAAGTTAGATAAATTTAATTATACCTCTCTTAATTAGTCCTAAAAGCTCTTTATTAATAAATTCTATAAAAAGTACTCTTAGTATAATAATAATACCCTTATTACGGAATTTAATAACTAATTTAAAATTTACTTTTTTTTTAAATATAAAATAAGTAGTAATTATAAAAGTATTATTATAGCCGTACTATATTAATATTTTTTTAATCCTCTTTTTTTATAATAAAGGGTTATTATTAATTATTATAACGATCTTATTAAAGACCTCGTTAATAATAGCGCTATTATTAATTAATTAGTTAATTACGGGGATTAATAAGTAGTTAACGTACTCCCTTATTATAGTTAGTAGCTCGGGGTCGACCTTTTTTAAGTACTAAAGTTTAATTATAATAGCTTAAAAGCTCGTTAGGCCGTAAAATAAATTTATTATATAAGTAGTATTACTTATTAAAACGAACTTAAATAGGCCCTTTTATCCCTTACTTTCTTATTAAACCTTAATATTTAATTAAAGTAGTAAATTAATAATATAGGAGATATTTAGCCTATTTTAAATAACTAGTACTTCGCTTATTTACTTATTAATATAAAGTTTATAGACTTCCCTTATTACTTTTTTAATTACTTTTATACGTTAAGTAATATTTAATAATAATAAAAATTCGTTAAAAATATATAAAAAAGCTCTAAAAATAAGGAGTATAAAAACGAAGCTATTTAGGCTAACTATATCGTTAATTATTTTAATTATAGTTTAAAATATAGCCTCTATACTTATTAATAAGTACTTATTTTAAATAATATTATATACTTTTTTAAATATTACGTAATATTTCTTAGCCTTATTAATATTATTATAAGCTTTAATAAGTACTTCTTTAACTTTAATAAATATAGATTTAGTAAAAAACTTAAATTTTACGGCGCTAAAGTTCTTATTAATATTTATAATAATTTAATTTAGCGGACTAAAGTAAATATCAATCTAATATAGCTAAAGAGCTTCTTATATATACTTCGTAATTATATTTACAAAGAACTTTACTATTTAAAAAGAAGTAGTAATATTAATAATATAAAGTACTAATTAGTTAGTACCCTTATAGTTTATTAAATATATTACGTTAATTACAATTTTATAATTAAAATCGTAATTATCTTATAAGGTAAATTTAAATCGGCTAGGGGTAGTATTATTAAGTTAATATTATTAATAAACTTTCGTAAGCTTTTTAAAAGCTACGATCTCTACGTTATTACTAAATTATTAAAATAATTTTAAAAAATAAAGAACTAAAGGGTAGCTAAAGTACTAATATAAACGGTATAATTCGCTCTTTATTAGGTAATTAATAATAACTTTTTTATTATTAAGGAGCAGAAACTAAGGGTATCCCTATTTATAAATAATAAGTACTATAACGTCTCCTTTAACTAATAAGTTATTAATATTATTAAAATATACTCTTAGCTTATTTATATCCCTTAAGTAGTATAAAAAAAGAGTATTAATTAGTAAGACGTAAAAAGTAATATTACTAAATAGGGTATTAATAATTATAAATCTTAATAACCTTACGGGTTTATTATTACTAAATTAAATACTTATTTTACTAATTCTAAAGGTATTAAAAGTAATTTTAAGTTATTGTTATTATAATATAAAGAATTAAGGGTAGCCCGTAGTTAAGAATTCTATAATATTAGTATTAAGTATAATACTTTAAAAGTCCCCTAACGAGTACCTCTTATTTAATAAAAAAGAGGTTATTAATTCTACGGGCTTAGTTAACTCGTTAATAAAAGTAGTATTAATAAGACTATACTCTATTATTTAAGTAGCGAGGATATTTATAAGGGTTTTATTATTAATAATAGTCGTAAGGTATATTATTAAAATCTAGACTTCGTCCTCGTAATTATTTTTATAGTTAAAGTCGAAGTTATTAAAGTATTAAATTATAATATTATTATTTTCGTTATTATTAATAAGGGTAGTTCCCTTATAAAAGGTAAGGAATTATAAGTATAAATTTAGTATAAATCTTTTATTTTTTTCTTTACTATTTTTATATTTCTAGTATACTTAACGTCGCTCTTTTTTTAAATACTTAGTTAATTAATAGCCGGTTTTATAATAAATAAAGTACTTTTTATTAATAATATTACGGCTACGTTAATTTTATTTATTAAATCGGGTTTCTTTATTAAAGCTATTATAAGTACGGTTAGTTTAATAAGTAATAAGGACCTCTTCGTTATAAGCACTATTTTATAAATATTACTACTACTTATTATAATTACGTTCTCTCTCTATAGTATTAATTAAAGTACTAAGCTAGTAATAAATATTAGTAAATATAAGTACTAAGTTAAGTATAATAAGTCTATATTTTAATATACTATTTACGTAATAAAAGAGTTAGTTATTTATATTAAAAATAAATCCCTATATAGCTAGCGCTTTATAAAGAATTATAATATAGTTAATAAGCGTTTATAAGATTTATTAATTTAACTTACTTAGATTCTCGTAAATTATAAAGTACTAATAGAGGTTATAAAGCTTAATAAAGTAGTTTTAATAACTCGTAAATAGTTTAAAATATTCTTAAGTTTTCTAATATATTATATTAAAACTAAGTAGGCTAAAAGTATTACTAAGTTAGTTAAAGTAAAAAGTTAATACCCTTTTTTTAAATATATTTAAGAAAGTATTAGAATAGTACCGTTTACTAATTCTTATTTATTAATATAGTACTTTAAAAATCTAAAGCTTCTTATTAAAAATATCGTACTTCTTATTATTATATTTATTTTTATTATTATAAAGCTTAATAAAGTTAATTAATTAGCGAGTATTAAGTATAATATCGTTTTTAGTTTTTATATTAAAATATAGTATTTAATAAGATAGATTTTATTATTAAATAATAATAATTTTATTTTTTAGTTCTTTTTTTTTTTTTTTTTAAAAAGGTAATAGGTTAGTTAGTTAATAATAAGGCTAAAGTCGTAATTTTATTTACTTTAATTAAACTAGTTAAGGTTATATAAACTCCCTTATTATTTCTTTAGTTTATTAAATAAGATCGTTAGTATTTATTAATTATAAAAATAATAAATAAAAGAAATAAAAATCGTAATATAATATATTAAAGTATTTAGTATAGTTTTAATAAGCTACGATCTTTTTAAAAATTTAAATAAAGAAGTACTAAGTATTAAGAGCGTTAATAATCTTATTTATTATTTAACTACGGTCCCTAATTATTAAGTTAATATTATTATTTATAAAAAAGTTTCTTAGTTTTTTAAGAATTGTACTTTTTATTCTTAAAAAGTCCCCTATTTTTTAGTTATTAAAATCGGTCTTAGAGTCCTTTTATAGCTCCTTACTTATTAGACTATTTCAATAATAAGATTTTATTATAAAAAGGATAAAAATATTAAGCTTCTTATTACTTATAAAGGTAAGTATAATATTAAATAAGCCCTATTAAGTTAAGTTAACGTAGTCTTATTAGCGAGTTAAAATTAAATATAGTTTTATAATTTAAAAGTATAAATAGGTTTAAAGTAATATTAGCTAATCGCTAGCCCCTTCTTATTTATTACTAGGGCTAGTAATTACTATAATATATTCGTAAAGTAAGTTATATAATAGAAAATAATCGTAGTGTTTTAATTATAGTATAACGTTAGTTAAGTTAAAATAAGTAGTAAGTTAGTTATAGCGATCGTTTTAATAGCAGTAAGCGGGCTACTATTACTAGTTAAAAAATTCTATTTTTTTAATAAGGTATATAAATAGAAGGTTATTAGAGTTAGTAAAAAGTTATAAAAAAAGAAAAAAAGCCTTTTATAACCGTATTTTTAGTAATAAATAGAAAATTTTATTAATTACTAATTAGTAATTTTTTTTAGTATTTTTCGTATTTTATTTTTAGTAGTTTAGTTTCGGAGCTTTTATTAAGTTAGAAAGAGGTAGATTTACTAGTAGTATAAAATAGATCCCTATTACTATTATTATTAAGATCTTTTTTTTTCTTTAGTATTTTAAAATACTTTACTATTTATAAGAGAATACTTCGTTATTAACGTATTTATAATTCCGAAAGTCTTATTATTATTAAGCACTAGCCCGCTAGTAATTATTAAATTAATTTTTTAGTAGTTAATCTCTTCTTACTTATTATTAATTTAAAATAGTATTTAATTATAATATATTTAAAATAGATTCTTTTATAAGCGGCTTAATTAAAAAAAAGTTAGTAATTATAATAAAGCTAGTAAAAATAATATTAATAATAAAAGTAAGGTTAATAATAGTAATAAAATAGTTAATTTTTTTATAATAATAGCCTTAGTAAAAAAGATTATATATAATAAAGCGCGCTCTTAATAACTTATAACTAGTTAACTAGTTATTAACTAATAATAATAAAAAAGAGTTAAGGTAATATAAACTAAGCTATTTATTATTAATTAAATAAATAGAACTAAGTTAATAAATTAGAATAATTAGCGAGGTAAATTAAGGCTATTTCTTTTATAATTATATCCTTACTAACTTATAATAAAAATATATATATAATTTAATTACTAATTAATATTAATATATACGTAAATAGGTTAGACCTTTTAGTTATAACTAGGTTAATAAGTTAGTATAGGTTTATTATATATATATATCCGAGGGGAAGATTATAAATAGGGCCCGCGATCCCTCTATAAGTATAAGTAAGTAGAAGGGTCCGTCTGCACGGGCCCAGACTGCCTACCTACTACCCCTACCTAACTACCTAATAGGGCCCTTTTCTGCCTCGTAATCCAACACCTACCCCCCTAATGGAGGTGGAGGCGGTGTTGGATGTGAGTGAATCCTAGAAAGCCTAGAAAGCTTCCAAGCTTTCATTTTGAACCTGAACAAGACTTGCTAATTGATCTGATCCAAGACCTCAAGAATGCGAGTAAGTCACCATGTCATTACTACACGAGCCTTCCAAATACATATGTAGGAATACACTAATAGCATCTCTAGCCCTCTATAACTTTGACCTCACTGCGACACGAGAGGCACCTTTTCTCATTGGTCAATGTACTAGCTTCAGTGGCCAACAGGGAGACTGCGAAAGCAGTACTTTCAAGATCTCAGACATGACGATCCGCAACTGGGTCGGCGATGGCGCATCTACTTACGTTGCGGATATGAACTGCAGCCAAGGCTCGGGCGGCTGTGAAGACATTACTATTGAGGACGTTGACTTGAAGAACACTACAACCGGGGCTGATGTTACCAAGTACCGGTGCCGAGATGTTGTCTCCGTACATGGCTTTGAATGTAGCTGAGTGCTGTGAAGAAACCTCAAAGACGATGACCATGCGAGGTGATGGCATCTTTCAACGCGACTGGCTACACTGTTATCAACCTAAATAGTCTGACATGGACGCGATCTAAAGCTTGCTCCATATCTCTGACATCGGATCAACCGAAGAAAGATCATTTTCATCTGATAATAGTTGTAGATATTTCATAGGTTATTCATCAGGTAATGACCTGAATTCAATCGGAACTAACTCTGACTTTCTGACATGCTGGATCACGACGGGACTCCAATAATGCGCATCTTCGGACACGCTAAGATCACATTGGCGGAATGTCTTACACTTTTTAACTTTCTCCTGAAGAAGCGAGTCTTTGAACTGTCTATTAGAATGTATAAGTTCCACTTCCCACCTCTGTCGTTCTTCCAGCTTTGCTCCCCACTGCTGGAATCGTGATCGTTGCGACAGTATTCGGAGGGATAGTGACTTGCAACCGAAAATTGCTAGACTCAAGCCACCATTCGGCTGAGACCAGGCCATACTGGGTGTACAGGGAGCAGGCGGCGTTGGTGAGCATACCTCCAGGAATGGGTGCGATGCTGATTCTTTTGTATCCCGGAGCTGCTGGCGAGATGCCGCCAATTGTCTTATGCATCCAATCGGCAACACTGCCGTAGGCATAGTGATTAAAAGATGTCATGTCGCCAGGATTAATCTTACCATCTGGGAGCATACTGTCCCATCTCTCCCATCTATGGCAGGGTCAGTCATGATGTTTTTGTAGAGTAGCAACAATAAAATCTTACGTAGTTGTGCCGCCCATTTTCACTTGATACAGCCAACCGGGAACTTCCTCTTGCTGTATCATGCCATAGAATGTATCTGTCGCGTTAACCGCAGAGAGACCGAGGCCAAGGTAATGTGTCGCAGCGAAGCCGGTTCCGACCTTGTACTGATTTTGTTCGATAATTGCCCGAAGACGTTGCGTGGCGTTTGCAACTTGCGCGTCCGGGATTAGACCGAAGTATAAAGGTAGGATAAGTCCGGTCTGAGTTTCGCTCACCATAGTACCATCTATATTGATCCATAATGCCTGGAACTTCGTCTTGAGGTTGCTATATGCTGTATTTTTCAGATTAGAAGTCCAATTCGACAGCGGCATATAGCTAACTACGCAGGGGCTAATTAGGGGCCCTATTTACGATTATCGTAACTAGCCTAACCTATAGTTAGAACCTCTTTTTTATACTTATATAAAAATTTATATAATTTAATTAATCTCTTTATTAACTTACGGTTCGAACTAAGTACTTTATAATAAAAATACTAATATTAATTAGTAATTATATTTTATTATTATAAATTAATAAGGTATTTTATTATATAAAAGAGACGACTTTTTAATATTATAAAAAATAAAAAATCCGTATTAATTAATTTTATAAAAATAAACGAAAAAGGAAATAATTCTTAAATATTATATAGAATTAAGTAATCGTAGCTTTTTATTACTTATAAAAAGTCGATATTTATTATATTAAACTATATTAATTAATAAAACTACTTAAATAACTAGTTTTTTATTATTACTTTAAGTAGCTTTTTTACTAAATAACTTTTTTATAACCGGCTTATAATTAAAAATTAACTAGTTAAATTAATAAAAAAGAATACTTATGTAGTAACTACTTACCTAATTAATTAGTATAATAAATAAGCTCGATAGTATAGTATAAAAAAGTACTATATAATTAAGGAAAAAAATCTCTAAATATAAATATTTTTATTTAGTAATAAAAGTAATTTTATAAAAGTTATAAAGCTAAGAGATTTATAATATATAAAAAGGTCTATTATTATAAGGATTTTCTAAATATAATTATAAGCTCGTAATTTAAATAACTTCTTTATAGCTCCCTTAACTACCCCCCGGGTATTATTTTAAAATATAATATAAAAGACGGTTTTATAAAAAAAAAAAGGATTTAAAAGCTTTAATAATATTATACTAAGAATATTATAAATTTTAGAGATTAATTTAAAAAAAAAGCGGCTATTTTAAAATAGGTTTTTAACTTTTTATTAAAGTTATAATTAGTTTAAAAAAAGGCTAAAAAAACGAGGATTTAAAAAGAAAAAAAAAGAATCCTTTAGAAAACTACTAAAAAACTTCTTTTTTATACTAGCTCTTAATACGAGATTATTAGTTTTAAAAAATTAACTAAGTAATAAAAAGAATTATTAATAAGTAATAATTACTTAATAATAATTAAACTATAAAAAAGATTACTTAAGAAATATAAAATAAAGTACTAAGAAATAACTAAAAAAAAATTTCTAAAATAATTAACTTTATTTAATATAAGCGATAAAATAGTAAGTATTTTTAATAAGTCTTTTAAATTTTTAATTTTATAAAAAAAAGGGCTTAACTTTACTAATTATACTTAATTATTTATTTAGTTCTTAATAGCTTATTTAGCTCTTTTATAAGCTACTTAGTATTTATTTTTAACTATTCTTTTAAAATACTACTTTAAAAAAATAGGTTAAGAAAAGAAGGAATTTAAACGTTATAAAAAGTACGAGGCTTAAAAAGTTAAAAATATACAAAATAATAAAAATCGGTAACTAATAAAGATCCTACGACTAATTATTATATTTTTTTATAATAATATAAACGTCTATTATTATTATTAAAAAAAGAACTACTAAAACTTACTTTTTTATATTAAATAAAAAAGAAGATCTTAATAAGTATAATAGTTAGTAATTTAAAAGAATAATAATAATTACTAAAAATAATAAAAATAAGAGTAATAATAAAATAGTAAAAAGAAGTAGGAATTACTTAGACCTTAATAAATTCGTTAAGTAATAAAAGTACGGATTTATTATAGTTAGTACGTAAATTAAATATATCCTTATTAAAATTAAATATATTAATAATTATTAATATAGGTATAAGCTAGAGTACGACCCTTAATAAATTAGGGTAAAAAAAAAGAAAAAAAAACCCGATCCTAAATAAAATCCTAATTTTTTATAAATAAATAAATATTAACTTAAACTATTAAAGGACGTAAATATATAAAATTACGGATTAGCTTAATAATAAGTAAATTAACGTAATATTAATCTATTTAACTAAGGTTTATAAAAAAAAGGGGGCTATAAAAGTAACCCCTATTTTATAAAATCGTAAACGACCTTAGTTATTAACTAGATAAATAGTTCGTAAATATAAGCTTAAGAATTATAAAAGTAATTAATAAATTCCTCTATAAGCGAGGGGTATTACTAACGTAATTATAATTATAAAAACTATACGAGATCTTAGTAATAATAATTATAAAAAAGGAATTCGTATTATAAAACTAAATATAAGTTAATAAAACGTATAATTACTTTAATAAATTTAAAAAAAGGGTAAACGATTTAGATTTTTTTTTATAATTACTAATAATAATTTATTATTATAAAAAGATATATAAAAATAAAATATAATACTAAACGTATAATAATCGATAATTCTACTTATTTTAATCTATAGCTTATTATTATTATTAATACGAAATTTAGTACTAATTAGTTAATAAAAAAAAAATAAATAACTTAAAATTACTAATAATACGTAATAACGTAAGGATCGTATATAAATATTAAAAATATAATAGTAAATACGAAGTAATTTATAAATTTTAAAAAAATCTTTTTAAAAAAGAAATTATACTCTAGGGGGAAGTACGAGGTTTTATAAAAAACCCTAATAATATTTTATAATTACTATAAAAAAGTTGGGATTAAGGAATATTAATACTATTTAATAATTAATATCGTATTTATAAGTAAAGCTTTTAATTATTATTATAAAATAGTACGTAATTTTAATTAGAACGACTTTTTTAGTATTATTAATATAATCCGAAGCCGCTTTAAAACCTATAATAAGAATCTAAAGCTCTTATTTAAACTACGAGCGATTTTTTTTATATTTATAACTAAGATAATAAAAAGCAAATTATAAATAGAAATCTTTAAAAAACTTATTAATTAAATTAATAAACTAATAAAAACCTAGCTAAATAAGAGGATTAATAAGTAAAAAGTTAGATATTTTTATAGGGAATTAATATACCGGCGTCGTAAATTAATATACTAATATCGCTCTTATATTAATATTACTATTCTATTTTTTAATTAGTTTAAAAAAATAGTACTTCTTTATAAAAGCGGTAAGAGTAACTATATTAATATAATTATTCTTATTATCCTCTTTAATCTAAGCTTTAGTTTAAGATTTTTAAAAATAAGAATATTATTATAACTTACGTACTCGTTTAGAACTATTATATTACCTATTTAAGATTTATAAATCTTAAATTAGTTAATAATACAAGCTTTTATAAATTTTAAATAAATAAGGCTTTTTTTTATTATATATTTAAAATATATAAAAAGTAAATTATAGTAACGTCTATTTAATTACTTTTTTTAATATAATTATAATAATTTATTATTATTATAAACTATTTCTTATTAACTCCGTTTTTTCTAAATACTAAACTATATTAGCTATTTACTTATATAATTCCCTATTATCCTCCCCTTATTAAAAATATTAAATTAGTTCTTTATTTATTATTAAAATAAGCTTAATATTTAGCTTTAACTTAGTTAACTTATTTTTTTTATAAACCTAGTTAATATTAACTTATTTTTATTTTTAAATAAATAGCCTCGCTTCTTATTATTTATATCCTAATTATTATATATAATACGGGCTTAATTAGCTAACTAGCCCTTTTTAAATAAAGCTAGTTATAATAAAATAAGCTATACTATATTCTTTAGCTTATTATAAAAAAATATAATAATTTTAAAGTTAAGGATTTAATAATATAGATTTAAAAAAGACGTTTTTTAAAAACGTTACTAAGAATATACTTCTTATTTATTAAAAATAGCTAAATTTAATATTTTAAAATAGATTTTATAATAGTATAAGATACTTAGCTTAATTAAAATAGTATAATTTAAACTATAGGATCCGAGGGGGTCTAAGAATAGCTTTTTATTAAATAGTATTACTTTTTTTATAAACCGGCCTTATATCCTAATTAAAATAAAATATTTTAAAAAAAGTATTATTTAAAATTTACTTAAGTATTTAAAATAAGTATTTATATACTCCCAGCTTATAAATACCTCGTTCTTTATATAAGCTTAGTAAAAGCGTAGTTTTTAATTACTAATTATATCCTATATAACGTTTATAAACTAATATAAATAATTAAGACTATTTAAAAAATAAGTCTTAATATTATTATTACTTAACTTAGTACTAGAGGTAATGCGAGTATTAAAATTTTAGTATTTTTAAATAAAATAACGGGCCTACTATATTTTTAAAAATAAGTATATTATATAGAAGTACTAAAGGATTAGGTATTAGTTATTAAACTCTTTATAGAGCTTAGTCTAGGCTTTTTTAAAAGTATACTTAGTTTTAATAAAAATAATAAGCTTTTATATTATAAAGACCTTATGATATATATAAAGGGGGGGCTTATTAATAAGTATATTAATATAAGCCTTATCCTTATTACTTAGTATAATTATTATTTATATTAATAACTAATATCCCTCGTTATTAAACTTATTACTATTATTATTATAACTACGGTCTTTAACCTATTTTTACTTAGCCCTAAGTATAATATTAAAGTTAATATAATAAATATAAAGTTATTACTAAACGTCTAAGAACTACTTATTTAGTATAGCTTTTATTTACTTATTATAGTTTATAATAATAATAATAAAATAATAAACTAAGTATTAGTTTATAAATTAGTAAATACTTACTAAGAAAAACCGGAAACCCTCTAATCTCTCGTTATTAATAAAGCTAAACGCGGTATTATAAATAGATCTAAAATAGATCTACTTAGTAATTTAAAAAAAAGAGAGCTTAAAGCGATTAGTATTATAAATATTATTAAAACTAATTACTTTAGGGAATCGCTTCTATATTTAAAAATAATAAAAAAAGGTCTAAATAAGGCTAATAAAGTAGTTTAGCTCGTTATTTACTTATTTTATTATATATAAGATATTTTACTTATTAAATAGCTTAATTAACGCTATAATTAGTGAGTATTTAGCTAGTTTTTCTCGGTTTATATAAGCCTTAGTATTATAAATATCTTATTAAATAAATAAGGACTCTAAGAACTATTCTTAAATAATAGTACGTACGTTACGTAATTAAATCCTAACTCGTTAGTTTATAGTTTTAATAATATCCTTAACTACCTTAATAAGTTTATAATATAAAGGGTACGTAAAAGCTTTAAAGCTAGGGTTATAATTATATTAATTATACTAGGGGTTTAAACAATAATATAATAACTACTTATCCTCTTCTTAAGCTTTAGTAATAACTTACTATTTATAACCGTATTTATAAAATTTATATTATTAAATACTAGCGCTTTATATAGGCCTAGGCTTATTAAACCGATTATATTAAAAAGTATATTAAATAATTCGGCCTCGAGCTTTATACTTATTCTATTTTATAATATTAAATTTATTAGCTTTTATAAAGTTATTAACTTAGTTAAAAAGGGTATTATAAGTTTATTTTAAATTACTAAGAATTAATAAGTTTAGGATTTTAATTATAAAAAAAGAGGAGGATCGGTTATTTAAAATATAATAAGAAGTTATAATTCGGAAAAACGCTTCGCTTTAAATAAAGGATAGTTATAGGGGTAAATAGGGTAATAAGTTAACTTAAGGACCCTATATTTATTATTATTAATAAATATATTTTTATTATTAAAGTAGTATTATTATTAGTTATTAATTAGTTTTAATAACCTATTTAATAAGCTAAAGAGTATTATTAAACTACTTTATTATAAAATAAAAACGTTATTAAGATTATTTATTAAAAAGAGAGGGGTTATATTTTAAAAAAAGTCGTAAAAAGGTAATCCGCTAGGTTTTTGTTATTCCCTTAGGGAAATAGTAAGTAAAATATAATATAAGCTCTATACTAAAGTAATTATTTATAAAAAGTTATGTATTTTATAATATATTAGTTAGGAGCTTAGTAATAAGGTCGCGCTACTTTTTAAAATTACTAATTTTATAAAATTAGTTAATATTAGAGTAGCTATTTTTTTAAAAAAATAATAATAATAGTTAGTTAAATAATAATAAGAGGCCGTAATTAATTAATAATCGTTTTTATAAAGAGGGAAGTCTCTTAATAAGGGTATTATTTTAAAATTAGCCTTAAAGAACGTTTTTAATTTTAATTATAAAAGTTATTATAAGTAAATATTATAAATTAGATTTCGAGGCTTAATAATATAACTTAAGTATAAAGGGAGTAAAGGAATAAAAGCTTAGGATACTTTACAAGTATTTAGTAAAATCTAACTATATTAATAATTTTTTTTAGACTAATTAAAAAGTAGAATAGCGACGCTAATATAAGAACGACGCTAATATATTAATTTATAACGTTAGTATATTAATTCCCTTTTTATATTATAATTTAGTATATATTAAAAATAAAAATAACTTTATACTAGGTATTTAAAAATTATAAAACGCTCTATTTAAAGCTAAGATCTAGTTTTAATATTAAAATAAAAATATTATACTAAACTTATTTCTAAGTATATAACGGCCCTTATTAATAATATTAAATTAACTAGATATATAATAAAAAAAAAAAGAGATTAAGTATAGTAATTACTAATAAGGAGGCTTAAATTCGTTAAATAAATAGAAATTTAACTCGTAAATAAAGTAATAAAAAAAGTAATATTTTATTTATAAAAAGGGTAGATATTAATTAAGTAACTATTTTAAAAAAGAGTATATTAAATTGTATAAATAGTATAAAAAGTCGAGGGTAGTAAATAATAAAACTAACTTTTATTAGTTTAACTAATTCCTTATTATATATAAAAATAGATCTGGGGGTATAAAACTTAGCAATAGTAGCTATAATAATAGCTTAAAATATTTATTTTTTATAAGAAATTTAGAAAATAAAAAAAATCTCGCCCTTTATACTAACAAATAAATTATAATAAAATCGATAATATTAATTACTCTTTTTTCGCTCCGTTAGCTTTTAGAAAACATATAAAACTAAATAAATAAAAAGTAATAAAAGCCCTTAATAAGTAGGTTTTTATTTATAAATAGTAAAAAAAGGTCCCTTATATAACGGATTTAAAAGTAAATAAAAGAACGAATTTAATAGTATAAAATTCTATTTTTTTAATACTTAAGGAGAAGATATTATTTTTATTAATATTAAAAAAAAAATATTAAAAAATTCTAAGGGTAGCTAGAGGGGTCCTTTTTATATTATTTAGATTATTTAAATACTAAGCTTATATAGGTATTTTACGTAAGTAAAAGGTACGGCCTAGATAATTTTTATAAGATTATTTTAAATATTAAGGTATTATAATAGTTAATAAAAAGAAAAGGGCAATTTTAAGTATTATAAAAAATTATATTAATAATATTTAATACGTTAATAGTAAGTATTATAAAAATTAGCTTTAGTTTAAGTAAAAAAATCGTTACCCTAAGTATAATAAAAATAAAAACGTACTTCGGAATAATAACTTTTTATATTTTACTTATTAATACCCTATTTCTCTTATACTTAAAAAATATAGATCGACTAAGTATTATTTTTAATAATATAAAAAATAAAATCTTTAGTAGTAAGTATTTTAAAATAATTAAACGATAATAGGGGTATATATTTATAAAGCTTATTAATAATACGAAGTTAATTAATTATTTAATAAAAAATAAGCTTAGATAACTATACTAGAGATTTAGGTACTCGTTAGTTATGAGGCTATATAGCTTCTTAAAATAATTAAATAATAATAATATTAAAATAGGGGTACTAAAGTAGTTAATAAAAGTATATTATTAATACTAAATAAATATATAGAGCTTATATAAATTTAAATTTAAATTACGTAATAAGCTTAATTTTAATTAAGAAATTATTATTAATATTTTCTATTTAAATAGTCGACCGGTCTTATATATAACTAACGAGGCTATATTATTTTAAATAAGGCAATTCCTCTAGGATTTATAAATAAAAATAGTATAGGTAGTTTTATAAAAAAGCTAGATTAATATATATTAAGAATTACTAAATAGTATTAGAACCGATATTAATACGAGTTTTAAATTAATGAAATTTAAGGAAAATATAATAACTTATAATATATAACTAAAAGTCGTACTTATAAAAACGTATTATAATATTAGAAAATTAAAAAGGGTATATTAATAATTAAAAAGGGCGTTTAGAATTATTAAAAAAAAGAATCCTAATTTTATTAATAACGAATACCTCTAAACGGTACTTAAATATTATAATAATACTATAGGGCTTAATAAGCTTATATTAACGCTATTAGTATTTAGAATATATCTAAGAATAACTTTAACTTTATTACTATTACTAAATATAAATTAACGAGCCTAAGTAATTAAAAAAATAATATAAGTATTATATAAAGTAAGTATAAAAAAGTAAATTAATAAGGTAACTACTATATATAATAGGCCTAATATAGGGGCTAATTTAAATATATTTTTAAATTTCAATATACGAGTTTAGTACGAAATTACTTAGTAATAGGCTAGGCTATATAAATTAATTTCTATAAACGAGCGGTTTTATATAATTATAAAACCCCCCGATAGAGTAATCCGCCGGGGCCGTACCGTATATTACGTATTAAAAAAAACTAAGTATATTACGCTCTATACCTAACTACTAATTAAAATTAACTAACTTAACCGTTATCTTCCTTTTATTAATAGCTCCTAACCTTCTACTACCCGCTTATAGGGCGAGCTTTACTTATTTTAATACGTACAGAACCTCTTAGTACTAGCCTATATAAATAGCTAGGTCTAATATAATCTATTTTTTTATATAAGTATTATCGTTACCTAGGGTGTCCTATAAGAGCTATTTAAAGTACTAGCTTATTATCCTAACTTTATATATCTCTAGCCCGTTTATTATAATTATTATAATTAAGCTAGTATCGATATACTAAATTTTAGTATTTATACTAGCCTAGCTATTTATAGTACTTAATATTACCTAACTAAATTCCGTATTATTAAAAAGTATTTTATTGCTTCTTAAGTATACTTATATTAGCTATAATAGCTATAGCGTCGAGCTAGCTAAGGGCGCCTAGCCTAAGAGGGGCAGACTTATTAACGGGTATCTTTAAGTTCTTATCGAGGTAGTATTTTAACTAGCTAACCTCTTAATTAATTATTTAACTAGCTATTTAAGTAGTAGTTTATATATTAATAGGTTTATTTAGTAGATTTACTTAGTAAATTTATTTAGTAAATTTATTTAATAAATTTATTTAGTAGATTTATTTAGTTTAAATAGAGAGTAGCTTTAGGTAATATTAGAAGCGATAAGGATAAAAAGAATCTTTACGAGCTTTAAAAAGTAATAAATATTAGCTTATTTAGCCCTTTTTTTAAAAACCTCTACGTTATTATTAAAGTTTAGAACCTCTATAGTTAAGGGCCGCTTTTAACTATTATAACTAATTATTACGGCCGACTATTATAGCTAATTATTACGGCCGACCTCTATTATAAACCTTTTTAGCTAGCGCTATTATATAAATATATTACTTAGCTTATTATTAATAAGTAGCTAAAGAGGGTAGCTTACTTATCCCAAATTAAATAGCGGTTTTTATATTAAAATTATTATATTACGTTAAGCGCGTACTTAGGATATATTACGCATATTATATAATTAAAAAATATACTATATTATATAATTTTTTTTAAAAGCGTAATTTTATTAAAGTCGATCTTTTATACTTATAAAGCTAAAAGAAAACCACTATATATAATTATAAAAAATCGTAACTAGTTACTCAAAGTATTAATTATAATAATTAAACTATATTATATAGATCTTATTAAAATAATTTTTAATTTATAAAAAAAAGAAGAGCTAGGGGAAATAGTATAACCTATAATAAAAGTATAAGAAATTATCCTTAATAAAATCGTTATAGTAATACTAATAAACGATAAGGGAGAGGAAATTATTAAAAGGGTATTAATATTATTAATAAGACGTTATAAAAGACTACGATAGTAAGCCTTAACGTAGTAATTTATTATTAGTAACGAAGTATTTAATACTTTTTTATTACGACTTAATACGTATAATAAGACTAGGGCCTCGCCCTATAGGACTTACGGCGGCTATTATATTATATATATAAAAGTACGGACCTAAAGTAACTCCTCTTAGAATAAAAGAACTATAAATAAGTTATATAATTATAATTATATGATAAAATAAAAAACGGATATTTATAAATAAGTAAAACGGACGATTATAAATAAGTAAAACGGACGATTATAAATAAGTAAAACGGACGACCGTTTAGTAAATAGTTAGATAATAGTAAATAAGAATATTATAAAAGATATATTTAAAAATAAGATTTATATATAGTATAAACTTAAGCTAGGCTTAAGAATAAACTTCTTATAGCTTTTTTAGTAATTAACTTAGTATTAGATTTTTTAATTATTTTTAACTATTTTTATTAAGAACCTTTTTTAATAAAACTACGATTAATTACTAAAGCCTTATTTATTTTATAACTTATAGATATAGCTTTAAAAAAGCTATTTATAATTACAATACTACTTACTTAGTACTCGTAACTTTAATTTTTATTAATATACTTATTATAACTAGCTAGTTATAATATTTTAATTACTTCTATTTAGTAAGTTAACCCTATAAAATTTATTAAGTAGTAAAATAAATAATAATATTTTTTAAAACCCTAAGTACCCCTTTATTTAATTCTAAGCAACTTATTAACTTAGTTAATAAGCTAGTTAAGGTCGAGGATAATAAAATACTTAATATTACTTATAACTCCGATAGTAATATAATTTTTAAAAAAAATAAACTATAAAAAAATACGACGTATTATTAAAAAAAGTAATAAATAAAATAAAAAACTCGCGGAGCTTTTTAATAATAACTCCGCTTAAATAGCTATAACTTTAACTAAAAATAATAAAAATATCGCCGCTCTCTAAAATATAATTAATAAAGCTATAATTAACTTAAAAATTAAAAAAAAAAAAGTAAACGACTTAAAATAAAAAATTAAAACCTTCTAAGCCGCTATTAATATTATTAAAACTCTTATAAATAAATAAAAAAAACTTAAACTTAATATACTTATTATTTTTAATAGAACTACTAAGTATTTTAAGGGATTTTTAATTTAAATTAAAACTTACTAAACGTTTTATACTACTAACTTCTATAATAAAATTAAATAAGTTATTTACGTAATAACCTTTTTTAAAAAACGAGCTTTAAAATAGTTCGAACCTTTTTAAAAAGAATTTCTTAATAATAATAACTACTTACCCTATTATAAAAAAAAACTACGAATATTTTTAATAATATAATAAGATTCTAAAACGCTCTTAAATCCCTATTTTATGACTTTAATAAAAAATAATAAGCTAAAAAAAACTTAGCTAATTTTTAATAAACTAAGTTTACCTCGTATTATATTACTAAGTTTAAAAAACTTATAATATAACTCGATTTTATTAAAAAAACCCGTATTTTTTTGTTTTATTAAAGATTAAAAAATAAAGTTAAGGATAAACTTAGTAAAATAAAAATACTAATAAAATTCCTACGGTATATTAAACTTATTATTAAGATCGATACTTAATTATATAAATAATATAAAAAAAAGAGAGAAGTACGACGCCCTTAAGCTAACTCTAATAAAAAATACTAAAACTATAATAAACTACTAAATAATTATTAAAATAACCCGAGAAACTAGTAATAATAAAGTACGTTTTATAAATAATATAAAGGACTTATAAACTTTAATATTACTAAACATAAAGAACTATAATAAAAAAAGAACTTTAAATATTATAACTACGATAAGCTAGGATATATAGTTAAAAACTATTAATAACCTAAGTATATTTAATACTAACTTATTTTAAAAAAACGAGCTAATATTGTAAATAAAGAAGTCCCTTATAAATAACTCTCGTAAATAGCTTATTATAATAATAGCTACTTTACTTACTAAAATAATAAAAAATAAATAAAATAGTACTTAAAATAACTAAAGAATATAAAATAATTCGGATATAATATTATACTACTTCTTATTAAAACCTTAGTAATAATAATAAAAAAAAAATACCCGCTTATTAACTTTATATTTTTAAAATAAATAATATTAAATATATTATTATACTCTCTTAGATTTATAAGAATATAAAAGAAAAAGCTAAAATAGACCCCATTATAAAAGATATATTTTACTTTTTTAAAAAACGAATTAAGTAAAAACTCCTAGTTAGTATAAAAAAATAACTTTTTAAACTTAAAAAAAGAGGACCTAATACTAAAAAAATAATAAATAGCCTCGTCTATATAGTATAATAAAACCGTATAAACTAAAAATAATTTACTAAATTTAAAAAAGGATTTAAATTAAATAAAATCCTAACTAAGTCTATTTATATAATATAAAAAGTAAACGGTAATAGAAAATTTATTTATAAAATTAAAGAGTAGCTCGAAGACCTCTTATATAAAAATAAAATCGAAGTACTTAAAAAACTAACTCTTAATTTCGGAATTATAAAAAAAGGAAAAATTAACTTTAATTTTAAAAAAAAAGAAAATATTAATATAAGAACTAGTTCTTTTTATTTTAATAAAATAAAATTACTTTATAATTTAGATAAACTTCGTAACGTTACTTAATAACGTACTTAGATAGAGATTAATTATAAAGTACTACTTAGTATTAATAATATTAGTTTTAAAGAGGATAACGACGAATTATAATATAAATATATTTATTTATTTAAAAATAACTAAACTATTTAGCTCTATAAAACTAAAAAACGTAAAAAGGTTATAATAACTTCTTATATAAATAAAGACTATTCTTTATTTAATTCCGAAAACCCTTTTTATAAGGAATTATTTTAAATAGAATACTTAGATAATAAATATTTCTAATACCTCGTATATAAATAAAATAGCCGTTTTTATTTATAAAGACGCGATAATAAACTTATTAAAAATATTTATATAAAAAACTAACTACTTAACTAGATATTACTAAGTTTTAATAATAATAATAAAATAATATTTAGTTTAGACCCTAGCTTTTTTATAAAATACCTTAATAATAAGTATATAAAATAAGAAGATTATAAATATAATTAATATTAAGTCTACTATATTAAAAAAACTAAGGTATAAAGGGAATAATAAAAACTATATAAATAAAGTACTTAATAAAAAAAGCGTATATTAAAAAACTAAAAAAGCTAATTATAAAAAAACGACGAGAGGCGAGGATAAAAAAAGAGTTTTTATATATAATTAAATAATATAACAACGTATACTTATAAGTTAACTTTAATATTTATAAACGAGGATTAAACGCTATTATTAATAGTAGCGTATAAGAAACTTATATTTTACTAAAAATAGTAAATAAACTTAACTTACTATAGGTATAAAAAGATAACTTATATTAATTATAAATAGTAAAAAGAAAACGAGTTAACTATAATTATGGATATATTAATTAGAAGATTATATACCTCTCGACGTATATTAATAACTAGTAAAAATAACTATAATATAATATTACGGAGATTAAAAATATTAATATTATTCTAGGAATCTTATAATTACGAAAATATAATTTATAGATAAATTAGACTACTAGCTAAGTTCTCTAAAAAAATCTAGTTACTAAATAACTTAAAAAAAAAAAAGGGTTTAAACGGATTTCTAATAACTCCTAAAAAATAAAAATAAATATAATATATAGTTTTTATTAAAATAGTAAAAAGCTCTAGGAAGTTTATATATAATATTAATAATTAAGGATTATAACGACTCTAAACTATACTTAAAGAGTACTAAATATATATAAAACTATTTATAAAACCTAAAGAAATAGGATTACTAAAACATAGTAATTAAAATATAAAAATCGAATTTAAAAAAAGAATATAACCTAAGTTCTATTTAATATACTTAATAAACTAAGAAGAATAAGAGTATCTTAATAAATATATTAATAAAAAACTCGAAAAGGGATATATTTAACTATTAAACTTTTTTATAAGATTCTTATTATTCTTTATATTAAAAAAGGGCGGGAAATTAAGACTTATTATTAATTATAGGAAACTTAATAAAATTATAAAAAAGAATTATTACCCTTTATTACTTATTACTAAGCTTAAAAATCTATTTTATAAAGCTAATTAGTTTATTATTATAAATCTTAAGGAAGTATTTAATTAGATTCGAATTAAAAAAGGAGACGAATAGAAAACGGTATTTCGAACTTATAAAGGACTTTTTAAGTACCTCGTTATACCCTTTAAATTTACTAATACTCTAATAACTTTTTAAATAATAGTTAATTATATACTCTAAGAGTATATTAATATCTTTATTATTATTTATATTAATAACGTTCTTATTTTCTCTCCTAATTTCGAAATATATAAAAAGTATATTTATATAGTATTTTAAAAACTCTAAAATACTAAACTATATACTAAACCCTCTAAATATAAGTTCTATATATAAAAAATAGACTTTTTTAAATATATTATTATATTAAAATAAATCTATATATAAATATTAAAAATAGAAGTAATTAGGGACTAGCTTATATTATAAAACGTTAAGGATATATAAGAATTCTTAGAATTCGTTAATTTTTATTAATAATTCCTTAAAGACTATATTAATATAATTAAACTTCTTAATAACTTAATATAAAAAGATACCCTATTTATTTAGGACCTTAAGTATAAAGAAGTATTTATTAAAATTAAGAATATAGTCGTTTTTAAACTAGTTATTATAATCTTAGATCCCTAAAAACCTTTTAAAATTAAAACTAATATTTTAAACTTTACTATAAGAGCGGTCCTAGGATAATAAAATAAGTAAAAAAAGCTTTATTTATATTATTTTTATTCTAAAGCATTTTATAAAATAAAATTAAATTAATAAATCTATAATAAAAAACTAATAGTAATTATTAAAATATTTTAAAAATAGAGATTATAGTTATTTAAAACTAAATATAAAATTATAGTTTATATAAATTATAAAAACTTTATAAACTTTATAATAAATAAAAACCTAAATAAATAATAAGTTAAATAGAGCGAATTCTTATTAAAATATAATTTCTAAATTATTTATTAGAAAAGTTTAAAAAATAATAGAGCGGATGCTCTTAATAAAAAACTTAACTACGAAGTTATAGTCTTTAAAAAAATATAAGTTATTTTTAAATAAGAAAAGGATAGTAGCTTTATATTAATTACGAAGCTTTTTATAATAATTAAGAGGATTAATATTAACTTAACTAGAAGGATAACTCCTAAGCTTATTATAAAAATTTATAATATACCGGTATATAATTACTAAGGAGTTATTAAAACGTAAAAATAGATTTATTAATATTATAATAAATCTATTATACGTACTAAAATTATAGAAATAATTAAAAACTACGCAATTTATAAAAAAAGTAAAAATAGCTTATATAAGCTTTATAAAGAGCTATAGCTATTATAACTATTAATAAAAATATAATATTTAATTATATAAGACTTTATTATTAAATTACTAAAGTTTAAAAAACTATTTATTAAAGTATAGTATAATAGTATCTTAGTTATAATTAACCGACTTACTAAGTTTACGTACTTTATTCTTTATAAAGAATTAAGTATTATAAAAAACCTAGTATATATATTTACTAAGGCTATACTTTTAAACTACGATTTATTAAAAACAATTATTTTTAATAAAAATAAGCTATTTATTTTAAAATTTTAGAAATCTCTAATTTTATAACTTAATATAGATTATAAACTATCGACGTTATTTTATTTATAAACCGATAAATAAATAAAAAAGATTAACTAGATCTTCGAAATATACCTCTGTTATTATATAAACTATAACTAGGATAATTAAGTAATATTTTTATTAATAACCTAGTTCGTATATAATAATATAGTTAATAAAAGTATAAGAAAATCCCCGTTTTATTTTAATTATAAATTCTAATTAATAATATATAAAAAAGTATAATAAGGATTATAAGCTATAAAAGCTATAGTAAATATAAGTAAACTTAAAGAAATTTATAAATAAGCCTTACTAAACCTCGAGTTTATATAATAATATATAAAAAAGAACGTAAATAGATTAAAAATTAGAAGACTATTTTTAGAAAAGGGGGATAATACTTATCTTTTTTATTATAATATTAAAATAAAATAACTAAATAATAAATTAGATTATAAAAAACTTAGACCTTTCGAAATTATTAAAAAAGTCTTACTAATTAATTACGAATTAAAATTATTAAATATAATACGATACTACCCTATTTTTTATATTTTATTACTTAAGCTTATATTAAGAGGTTTATATATAAAATATTATATTATTATTAAACTAAACTAATTAAAATATAAAATTAAATAAATTATTAACTATAGAATAAAGGATAATAAAAAAGAATACTTTATTAAATAAAAAAACTATAAATATAAGGAAAATATATAAGAACTTATTACGAACCTCTAGAACTCTTAATAACTTTTTAAAAAGTATTAAAATTAAAATTAAATTTAGAACTCTTAGTTATTATAGCGTCCTAATTAATAATTTTAAAAATATTATTAGCCTATATTTTACGAGCTACTAAAAAAGTATTTTTAAAATCTTTAAGAAACTCCTCTAATATAATTCGACTCTTTTTAAATACTATTCGCTTTTAAAAATAAAAACGCTCTAACTTAGATAATAACTTATTTAACTTAGCTTAAGCTTATTAATAAGCCTTAGTTTTTTTTTATAACTCCGTAGCTCTTTTTTAAAACCGTAACTCTTTTACATCTTTTTTATAATTAAAATAATTAAATTCTATTACTAACTAATTAATTATACCTAGTTAAAAATTAAGATTTAATAAATAGAAACGTAATACTTATAAGTATAAATAATATTAGTAAATATATCGTACAAAATACTTAAATAATAATATATTTCATAAACTTCGGAATTAAAAAGAACTAAATAATAGACCCCTTATAAGCGATAATTTAAATAAAGTATTATTTTTATACTTTTATTAAAAAAATAAATAATACGTAATAATTTATAACAAGACGTAGCTATTAAAAATTTCGATTTTTTAATTTAACCTAATATCGTATTAGTATATTTTAAAAAAAAAATACTTAATAACTCCCTAATTTAGGAATAGATAACTTATTTATAGGCCTAGAAAACTAGACTTTTAAGAGGGGAAGCTAATATTACGACCTAATATATATAATAAGACTAGGGCCTTATTTTATAAGACTTATAGTAGCTATTATATTATATATATAAAAGTACGGACCTAGGGTAACTCCTCTTAAAATAAAAAAACTATAAATAAGTTATATAACTACGATTATATAATAAAATAAGGAACGGACGCTCGTAAATAAGTAAGATAAACTATTATAAATAAGTAAAATAGATAACTATTTAGTAAATAATTAAGTAATAATAAATAAGAATATTATAAAAGATATATTTAAAAATAAAACTTATATATAATATAAACTTAAGCTAGGCTTAAGGATAAACTTTTTATAGCTTTTTAGTAATTAACTTAATATTAGATCTTTTAATTATTTTTAGCTATTTTTACTAAAAACCTTTTTTAATAAGACTATAATTAATTATTAAAGCCTTATTTATTTTATAATTTATAAATATAGCTTTAGAGAAGCTATTTATAACTACGATACTACTTATTTAGTACTCGTAGCCTTAACTTTTATTAATATACTTATTATAACTAGCTAGCCGTAACATTTTTATATAATAAAAAAAAAAGCTAATTTCGAATTAATAATTAAATTACGTAAAAAAAGTATTATTATAACTATTAAAAAGTCGTATAAAAGATTAGATCTTATTAAAATAAATACTCTATATAATCGAGGGGTTTATTAATTTATTTTCTATAACCCCGAGAAATATAAAAGTTTTTATATATTTAAATTACGAATAGTACGTAAAATTAAAAAAAAAAAGATACCTTAACTATATAAAAAATCTAAGTATATAATTTAGGGGTATAAAAATATTAAAAAAGTAATACTATTTACCTAATTATTTATAATATAGTACTATAGCTAACGATTAATAATAGTACTAATAGTATTATTATAAAAAAAGAGATACGAGATTTAGAGCTATAATATTACTTAGGCCTATACTTAATCGGCTATAGGGTTTATAAAAAAAATCCTAGCTTATTTATTAAAAAAAATAGTTAGTAAGTACTTAGAAAGTACGATTATTAAAGTGCTTAAATTACTATATAGGCTCGTAAAATTAAGTACTTATTAATAAGCTATATACTACGATTTTTATATTAATTAATTATTAATAATTATATTTATATATAACCCGTATTTATTAATCTTTAAATATAAAAAAAACTAATTTAAAATTATTAAAATATAAACCGATAATATATTAGGCCTATTTAATATTAACTTTATAAAAAAGGAGGATAAGGAGCTTTAAAAAGCGGGCTTCGTAACTAAGTTAAAAGAGGTCCTTATAATAAATAACTTATTAATATTTAATAATAAGATTTTTATAATTAAAAAAGAAACCGTTATTTTTTAATAAAAAAAGTAAAATAAAAAAATTACCCTTATTAACCCAAATATAATTAATATTAAAAAGTAATATAAGGCTAAGCTCGTATAAAAAATATATATTATAAATATATATTAGTTTAAAATAATTTTTAATTATATTAAAATAGTATAAGTTATAAATTTAAATAAACGAAATATCGAGGTACTTAATAAGCGATTTTAATAATAATAAACGAACTTTAATCGAGGCCTCGTTTATTACTTAATTAACCTCGTTATTAATAAGCTCTATATCTTTGTTAATAAGTTATTTATAAATAATAATAACCTTATTTTATAATTAAAATATATTATTATCTTAGTTAATAAGAGTATAAAAAAGAGCGAATTTATTATATATAATAATATAGTTTACTACTTATTAACTAAAAGTAAGTAAATAACGAGAAGTATACTAATATTAGAAATTTATAATATAATTAACGGCGTTAACCTTATTTATATAATTTTAATAATGCTAAAGAGGATTATTAATTAACTTAATTTTTTATTAATTTTAATAGTTATTTATACTAATTTTTATTTATTATATAAATATCTTATTAAATTAAGAATAATAAAAAAAAAGAGGCTTATAATTAATATTATAGCCCTTAGGTAATTATATAAAAAATACGAGATTTTCGAAATTTATTAAATAAATAATAACGATAACTTTACTAATACTTTTATAAAAATAGTACTTAATAAGGGGTTAAAGTAATTTATAAATAATAAAAAAGTTAATATATAAATAAAGGAATAAGTTATATAAAAAGAATAAAAAAAAGGGAGAAAAGGAGACGACTTAATAAACGGGCCCGAGGTTAAATTATATTTTTAATTATAATAAGTAAATTAATAAAAAAAAAAGTTAATATTAAATTAAAAATCTAATTTAATAGTAGTATATAGCTAACTATATAGGGGCTAATTAGGGGCCTTATTTATAATTATTATAACTAGCTTAACTTATAGTTAGAACCTCCTTTTTATACTTACGTAAAAATTTATATAATTTAATTAATCTCTTTGTTAACCCACGGTTCGAACTAAGTACCCTGTAATAGGGATACTAATAGTATTATATCGGTCTGCGTCTGCTGTCTCTCCGAGCCATTCTGCTATCTGTGCAGCTAGACCAATTCCGTGCACAAGGTAGGCGTCGGCAACCAGGAACTTGTTTGTTTGTGAGGCAGCTGGATCCCAGGGCGGGGCAAGGGGATCGAGCCAGTCACCGAATTGAAAGGTTGAACGATCCCACAGCCCAGTGGAATCACGCCTAACACCGTCACCAAGCCAAAGTTTGACGCCTGGCCAGTGTTCGCAGAGAAGGTCTCGATCGCCAAAGGCTTGAAAGATATTGTATGGGTGGATGACAGCTACGTCACCCCAAATGGCGGTCGGTGGATATCCGTTGGCTGTCCATCCCTGAGGGACATGAGGTATGAGGACGGGAGGAATTCCTTAGCATGCTAGTCAGTTATTAATCAAACAAGCCAACCATTATGCCCTCTTACCTCCAGCATCAGCCTGCTCAGCGTTCACGTCCTTCATCCATCCTTTCCAGAAACCGGAGGTGTCGTAAAGGAAAACACTTGTCGGCCCGAATGCGGTGACATCTCCAGTCCACCCTAATCTCTCGTCTCTTTGTGGACAATCTGTGGGAATGCTCATGAAGTTGCCCTTCATAGACCATAAGGCGTTTTCGTGCAGCCTATTGAGCTTATCATTGCTGCTCCTGAAGTATCCAGTTCTTGCTAGGTCGGTGTGAACTACCACGGCTGAGACGCTGTTGCTATCGAGCGACGTTTCCTGAGGCCATCCTTCGACTTGGACGTACCGGAATCCATGATATGTGAACTTGGGCTCCCATGTCAGCTCGCCCTCGCCGTTCAAAGTGATGTAGTCTGTCTGGAGAGCGCCTCGAAGAGGACGCGTCCCAATTTCGCCGTTTTCGAGAACCTCTGCGTGCGTGAGCTTGATTGTTGTCCCACTCGGCCCATCGACTTTAATCTTCAGCCACCCAACGAGATTCTGTCCAAAGTCGAGCAAGGTAGCGCCCTTGGGGCTGGAGGTGACGCTCTTTAGAGTGACTTCTTCGATGCGACGTATTCCAGGACCGTCAGCATGAACTAGATGGCTCGGGCCAAGAGTCGGCCGGACACCTTTCCAAGCACTTTGGTTCTCGAAGCCGGGTGACGACCACCCCTTCTGCACGAGACGCGAGTCAAAGGATTCACCGACATAGATCGAGGAGGAATAAGTAGGAGCTTCGGTAGACATCCAAGTCTCGTCGGTGCCGATGTACTGGATCGTTCCGTTCTTGAAGCTGATCTTGAGTAAAGACTTCAGTCCGAGATCCTCACCGTAGACATTGTTGATTCCGCCGCCCCATGTGAGTCGGCCCGAGAACCAACCTTCCCCGATGGTCACGCCAATGGCGTTATCGCCTGCTTTCAGAAAACTCGTGATATCGTACGTGTCATAAACATGGCGATGCGCGTATGACTGCCAACCGGGAGCGAGAACATAATCCCCAACGCGCTGTCCGTTGAGCTCTGCTTCGTATATACCGAGAGCGGTGATGTAGAGTCGCGCCGATTGAACTTCACTATCGATAGGGAAGTCTTTCCTAAAGAGTGCCGGATGCTGTGTGGTATTACGATCCGCCCTCTTATCCGGCGTCGTTATTGTGAGCGCGCCTTGCCAAGACTCTGGTGAAAGTAAACCGGTTTCAACAGTAACGGACTTTGACCAGGAAGTCTCCGGCTGGCCATTGTGCCCATATGCCTTAGCACGTACGGAGGCAGATTCACCTTCGCTCAGCTGAACAGTAGGCCATGGGACGAATACGGAGTCAGCAGATTCGACGTGGAAGACTTCGGTTATACCTTGTTTCGTAACCTCAAGATCGTACCCGAGTTGAGTCCAATTAGCGGCGTCGCCTTCAAATCGCCAGGATATCCGGGGCGTAGTTTGGTGTATACCCAACGCGGAGCGATGTTGCTCGAACTGTAGATCAAAGATACTGACAGACATGGTGTCAGGTGAGGTATGAGAAAGGTGAATGAGTGGCGGGAGATGAAGGAGTAAGCGATAATAGTTGCAACTGCTTGACTACATCCATTTATACTTTGCTTCCTGTCAATTTGAGTCGATATGATCGGGTGAATATGATAGTCTCTAGGTGCTCCCCGCATTTATGTCGGCTTAGATAGGGACGAGAACTACCGCCCTGGCATCATTGCTAGTAGCTCATTATATGATCGATGCCTTTTGGATCGTATTCGAATTCTATGCGAACTCCAGAGCGATGTTTAGGCAGGACTTTCATGCGGGGAAGGTTCTGGACTACACGTGGGTAAACCAAGGATTTACTCAAAGTCAATAACGCCGAAGATAGGGTGAAATGTTGCTGAGGAAGGGAACGTGGAATTGAATACGAAGTATTGAGCTAGCCCAGGTAAAATGGGGGAAACGCGCCGTTGTTCAAGCTGCTGCGAATGTACAGGTGAGGCAACAACTCGCCGAAACGTAACTCAAGGGGCTATTCCACAGCTCGAGAGTCCGCTTGGATTAACGTTAATGCTACAGGGGGTCTTCGCCTTTCTTGAGGACTAAAAGCGCTATAATAGGTATAAGCGGAATGGTCGAACCTGGCCAAGACGTCGAGGAGGTATTTTCGGGAACTAGACCTATGGCATCACAGCATTTCCGGTAAGAAGATTGCGACACAGAGTGAGAAATGCAAGGGTGTCACATATGCCGTGTGGGGTTCTCGTATATTAGAGCATTACCCCAGATGGTTCGCATCAAACTACCCCGACTTCGGGTTATTAATCGAGCATAGAGAAATGACATGAGTGCCGAACCCAAAAGTACGTGCGCGCGCAAAGTTGAGAGGCCCCTCGACTACCTAAGTAGGAGGCAAGGCAGTGAAGAATCCTTAGTGAAAGCCAAGGGAGAAATCGACTAACTTTAGACCGAGATACTCACACTTCCCGAGTTAGACCTACTACTTTTCTCGTTTGTCTAAGAACCCCACTGCTGGAGACTCTTCGTACTGTCTATATTAATACCTGCACTAAGCCTAGCAGTATACGGCTTAAGAAACTCGCGTATACTAAAGTATTATAGCTAACTAGTTATGATAAAGTGTATCAATAAAAGTCAGGACTACGAAGCTAATAATAATATTGTTATTCTAGATAACTTTTTTGAACTATATTTTTTTGTTATTAAAAAAAAAGCTTTAATAATTAACTACAATTTTATTAAAAAGACTTTTCAATAAAAATAATTAAAAGTAATTATAAAATTTAATATAAAGTTAATTATTTTAAAAGGAGGTTATAAAAAGTATATTCTTAGAATTAATTTAAAATAACTTTAGATTTAATTTTATTCTAACAATAATTTTATTAGTCATTGTATATACTTATAAAAGTATTAATTAAGATGATTTTTAGGTACTTAGATTATAAAATATAAAGCTTTTTATATAGAGTAGGTTATTTACTAAGACGAATAACTTAATTAATTAATTTAATATAAAATAAAATAATTAGTATTTAGAAATATTAAATTAAGCTTTATAAATAGGTTAAATAATTATATTAATATAGTAGATTATTACGGCCTAACTAGTTGGGTACTAGCTAGCGTACTTATATAGTGTAGAATAGGGGATAATAATGCCGGAGTTATTATTATTGAAGTTTTGCTTTGTGCTATAGTTAGTTGCCCTGACCTGCTCGTAATATAGACTGTTAATATAGCTCGTAGTTATTATAATAGTAAATATAAAAATGAAAAAAATATTAATAGTATTTTATTTTAAAAGTATTAATTTAAATTAGTTAAGTTATTAATTATAAATATTATAAAAAGAAACTCGAGGTAGATCGGAACGCTATTATATTAGCCTAATTAACTAAAGACTTAATATAAAAAGAAAAAAAATAGAATAGTAAGTAAAAGTTAGCGAGCTAGCTTTTTAGGCCTAGTAGTTTAGCTTATTATATAATTACTAAGAGCTTAGTTTTATAGCCTAAAGCTAAGTTACGGGGTTTATAAGGCCCTAATACTTATTATTATAATATTACCCCCCCCTCTATACTAAAGGGCGCTATTTATAATATTAAAAAATAAATTTTTAAATTATTTTTTAATTTAGTAAATCTATAGCCGTAATTATTATTATTATATTATTATTATTTTATAGTAGCGGCGAGTTATTAATTATAGTAGTTTTTATTTATAAGTCTAAGTTTTATAGCGGGCCCTTAGTAATTAAGTATTAGTAATAAAACGCTTAGAGCGCTATTAATACGTATTAAAAGCTCTTTATATTATACCAAGTTAGATCTATATTATACCCTTTTTAATTTACTTAGTATTATAGCTTTCTTTTATATAAGTATAACTTAATAATTTTAGAGACTTTATACTTTAGTTTATTATTATTATTAATAATTAGTAATAGTAAGTTTTAGTTCTACTTAAGTAATAAGTTATTAGCGGCCTTCTTTAGCTTATTTAAGTAAAAGACCGGGTATACTTAGCTATTTATTAGTAATTTTATAATTTATATACTTCTTTAACTAACGCTAACGATAAGCTATAATCCGGCTTACGGTTATTATAACTTATTTATATTAGTAAACTTTTAGTACGAAATATTAATAAAAACCCGATTTCTTAGCTTTAGGTCGTTTAGGTATTAGTAATAGTTAGTATATTTTTTATATTATACTTAAGTAACTTTTATATTACCTTTAATAGTCTCTTAGGCCTCGTATATTTTTTAAATTATATACTATACGTCGGTACGGTTTAGTTTTTTTTTTATAAAGCTAAATTAGTAAGTTTATTTAAATTAGTTAAAAAAAAGCCGTAACTAACGGCTAAATTCTATTTTATATAGTAATAGCTCCGTAGTTTTACTAGGCTAAGTAATATAAATAAAATTAACTATAAGTAGTATATTACTTTAGTTATCTTAGTACTAGTTAACTAGTAATCTTAATTACTATAAGATATACTAATTTAGTGCTTTTATTTAGCCGTTTATTTATAGGTAGTTTATTATTAATAGTTATAGCTTAATTTTATAGATCTTATAAAGCTCCCCTTAGAAATTAGAGATAAATTAGGGGCCTCGGTCTAATATAATAGTCTTTAGTAAGCTAAAAATAGGTAGTACTTACTTATAAAATATTTAGTTTATATTTTTTATTATAGTAGTTTTATAATAAAGAACTAATATTACTTTTTTACTTAAGCGGTTTATTACTATTTAGATATTATTAAATCCTTTTTAATTAGTAAGGATAGTTATAAAGTTTATAGAAATATATTATTATAGGTAGTTAGGTACTAGGAGCGGTCTTAGCTCCCCTAGGGGCTTATTGCGCGGTTTTTATAATTAGTAATAACGTATATAATAAGCGAGCTACTTAGATAAGCGAGCTACCCACCTAACCGTAACTATATTATATTCATAATTAAAAAGTAGTACTTAAAAAAATAATTTAATTAAAACTATTTAGTATCCTCTTTTTTAGATATTTTTTTAGCGATTTAATATATTTATGTATTATAATTAGTATTTTTATAAATATTATATCGTTATTAACCTATTTTAGTCCTTAGCTAACGACTACTACTCTAATACGTTTTTTTTTTAATCTAGGTTATTACCTCTCTCTATAACTAAAAGTCTTTTTTATTAGCTACTATAAGACTTCTTCTTTATTTAAAACGTATTTTTTTAGCCCTCTTATATTAACTAAGTAGGTTATTCTTTTTTTAAAAGATTTAGTTCTCCGATTTTAATAAAATAATCTTATATATAAAACCTTGTGCCCTTTTTAATAAATATTTAATAGTTTCGATAATCGAAATTAGGGAGCTATTTTAATAATAAGCAATTCGATTTTTAATAAGTTACAACTATAATAATATTTTTATTAGGTTATTTAGTATTTAAAAAGTCTAGGCTAGTAGTATTATTAAGAGGGATCTTGGAGGCGTTAGAGTATATAACTTTATATTAAGCTTAAATAGTATACTTTTTATATTTAAAAATATAAGTCCGGCTCTTTTAAATCCTCTTTAAATATTTTTTTTTATAATCGCTTATATAAATACTTTATAAAACGTAAAGAAGAAGTCCTTTTTTATAATATAAGTATTATCCTATTATATCTTTTTTTTAATTTTTTAGCTATATACCGTTTTTAAAAGTTTAAAATATTTAATATTTAAGGGCTATAATAAATAAGACGAATGAGCCGGTATATAAAGGGTAACGATATTATTCTTTTTATAATATAACTTAAAATCCGTAGAGTAATAACTTTCGTATTTATTAATAATAAGGAGGCGATATCGACTTTTTATACGTAGTTTTATATATTATTTAAAGTGTTTTACCTAATCTAGGCCTTTTTTATTTATTATCTATCTATTTTTAAATATTACGATAACCTAATTACGTAGTAAACCGGATTCCGTATACTAAGTAAAGAAGTAATATTTACTTATAACGATAATATATAGCGGGATATTATAGCCCAACGAGCTAATAGCTTAGATAATTATAACTTATTTATAATTACTAGGCTATATTATTTTCGTATTTAAATACCTTTTAGTACTCGTTATAACTATTTTAAACATAATTTAGCTTATTATAAAACTAATCTTATTAAAGTTATAAATATCTAAGTTTATAATACTATATTTCGTAACTATATTTATTATAAACTAAAACTATACGTTTATCGCGTCTAAGTCTTCGTATTAGGCCCTTTTATAATTATACTTATAAAAAAACTATATCTAGAGCTATAGTTAGCGCTTAATAAAGTTAAAAACCTAGCGCTTTTTAATAGGGGGCGCGTTATAGTTAATAAGTAGTTAATTAGCTATATTTTTTATATTATTAAAGTAAGGAGGAAACGATTAGGAATCTAGGTCGAGAATATACTTAATTAGCTTCTTTTTTTTAAGCGTAGTTAATTTTTATAAGTTTA